GGGGCTGGCGGTGGTGGGTGCGAGCGCTGGTTACCCGCCTGCAGTCGAGGTGGGAGAGGCACAAAAAGAAAGGCCAGGATAAAAATGAAGACGCGGATTATTTTGCTTGTGAAGGCCCTTTGAGAGCAAGCAGCACGCCCTCACTGCGGGTTACCAGCGCGCCAGATGCCCCTTAGCGTGTCCAGGGGCCGCCTCTAAGGACCCCAGCCAATTGATGCAGGTTGGCGCAGGTAGTGTGCCGTACCTGTGCTGACCTGTGCTGTATCGGCGTCTGTGTGCCTGGCTAAGACCCGTACCCAGATAACCTCGGCGTCAATCACCTGTAAGACTGCCTGAGCTGCCTAACCTCGAGTCAATTGCTCGCCGGTCCCACCCCAGCCGGGCGACGCTCTCTCTTCCCCTGCGTCCACCTGAGCAGCCCTTCAGCGTTGCAGCCCTGCCAGCCATTGGACCGCTGCGGGGGAATAATCATGTCTCAAACTTTGTTTCCATGTACTTTCCCCCCTGCTTCGAGCCCCTCTAGCTTTCACCATCTACTCCGGAGTAGACCTCCAGGGCTAGTCTTGCCTCACTAGCGATCGGCGGCCGTTCCTTCCAATTCTCCTTGTCCATCTCTGACCATCTCTAACCTGAACAAGGCGCCGCATCTTTGTCATGCCGCATGGAAGCTCGAGCATAGCACGCGCAATGCCTTTCATGCGTCGGCAGCCCGCTCCCGGCCTTGTCGTCCGCACCCAGCGTATGCGGCTGTAGATCCCTCAGCCTCATCTCACTTGCGAGGAAACAATTGCTTCCATTATGCCGCCTCGCGTCGCTGCGCCGGCCTTTCAGGTACAATTAATAGCGTGTTTCAGCGCTTGCCAATCCTACGCGAACTACCCGTCCCTGCTCTTGGCACAGGTGACGAAGCTGCAGCACCTCTGTGGAAACCGCAGTCAGAGAGGGGCATCGACTGCAAGACCGCCTCCACTACACGCGCAAAACTACCGAGCCCCTTGACCTTGCTCCTTTCCTGCAGACGCATCAAGCCACCGCCGCTGTGCGAGAGAACGTGATTGTTTCTAGCGCCCTCGACCAGCGCCATGTGGCTTTGGCTCGCCATCCACCACACCCCCTTTCTGCGAAATTGTCAAAACTCCTAAACCATCCATGAGTCTAGCATAGTCCCTCCCGCGGACGGTACCCTACTCCGGAATATATGCTCGCAATTCTCCTAGACGTCCGCTACCTGCTGGAACTTGCCATCAGACTACATAGACGCACTGTGCCTGAGTGATTCATGTCCACGCGCGCAGGCGCACTACGTCCCAACTAGGAAGTCCCATCGCCTAGACTCTCCCGCCACTTTTTATCCGTCTTTACATCAACAAGCATCATTGTACGTTAGATATATGCACCTCCAAGGTTGTAGCTGGGAATCAAACTTGAATGTGAAGCAAATGGTCCAAGACAGACAGCCTTGGAAGTTGTGACCCCCACGTGACCGGCAGCTGACGCCCTTCGAGACGAGGCGGCATGTCAATACTATGCGTGCTATCAACTGAGCACAACCTGCGTGCCTTCCTCAGCCAGTAAATGACCCCGCGATGAGCAACGTGTTGTGACTGTGCATCGTGCAACCTTGAAAATACTGAGACATGTCGTCATTATCTCCAACGTCGCTTCCTCATTGAGCGTCCATGCCTTATCTTCATATATTCCAACACTCACTTTGCTTCGCCCTGCCCGCCTCATTTCACTCGCCCAGAGAATGCTAACAGTGCAGACGGAGATGAGCGGAGATGCCAACCACTATGGTCCAGCGGCCTATCTTCGAGCGAGAGTCATAGCAACATCTCGAGCACATCCGCAGAATCTGCCGTCGCTACTGCCTTCCCACGGTAGTAACTGAGCCCCGAGCAGGCCGGCAATACAGTAAGTGCGATGATGCCCAACCGCTTGCATACTAATTTTGTTATCCACAATGTAATAGCAGCCGGCTATTATAGATACTAAATTCGCGACTACGGGACCCATATGCACGACATGCCTTGTTTCTTCGCGGATCATGACCCCACTGCGGAGTTTGTCGTCGATTGTTGGAGATAAGCCGGCTGCTATTGTCACCAATATCGTTGTGTATGACCCTACGCATCGAGCTCTACTCCGAGGTCATGAAACAGGTACTCATCCAGTACTATCCAGCACAAAAAGCGCGGCTGATGCCATTGTCTCTCGTCCTTTCCGCACTAGGACCGAAGGAAGATCAGGACCCACTATCGTTACAAGTTCCAAGTTGGTACACCCGAGCCACGAGTTCTTCAAGATACCATGGCTAGCTGCATACCGCCAACCCCGGTCCACCGTTCGTCTCAGAATCTGCAAAGCCGGCACGTGGCCGGGAAGTGGAGATGCTCGACGCAACTATGTCGTGAGCTCAAGACATGAAGGTAAGGCCGTTCTATACTCTGCTTGCCAGTTTTCGACGTTGCAAAGAGTGCGGGGTAATACCAACAATAAAGTTATCAGCGCTGTGTAGCTTTCCACTACTCCGAGACATTCACCGTCTTACACGTGCGCTACACGCGAGATGTCGGCTACTGCAGCCTGGCCCCACGTCGAACTTTATTTTGACTGCATTCGGACACCGAGTCAAGATTACCACCCGCCGTATTCGCTTCTCTTCCACTTCGCCACACATATTCTGTCCTTTTTTGACAAATTGTCATTCCATTACGGCCCGTTTCCAATGCACCCGAGCCGTTGACTCCGCTTTGTGGTCCTTCACTCACGGGAAACTGTTAGGGCCCGCGACGGGATGCGAGCAACCAATCGAGCATCTTCCAAACCGGGATGACAGCAACGGCTATCGGGTACGTCAAACTACGATCGACTATGAACTCAATCGAGCTCGGTTTCATGCGAGTAGACAGACCGTCGATTATCTGTAACGTCCGCTATAGCTACGCCGCCTACGTGGCCTTCTGACACTTTCAACGTCGAGCAAAATGTGGCATGAGGCTGTAACATCTGCTACACTACCAGCCGGTCAATACTTTCTAAAGTTAGCTCTTCTAGAACAAGCCACTTACATTCTTGGAGACGTCGGACACATCTCGGCTCGACCCGCCTAGAGACCTGACATTGCAGGACTACCCCCCTCAACATACTTCTCAAACCTCAACGGTAAAACCGTTGGATTCATAACCTTTTGCGGTTGCATGCAGCCAGAACAAGGCCGAGTTCTAGATTGATGCATGAACACAGGGAGTTATCCATCTTAGGCTGCGGCTGCGGATGCAATGTCGAAACCCTCCGCGCAGTGCGGTCAAATCTACTGCTACCAGGATCTGCTTACATCACTAGATGCGTACATCACGCTCTTTAGATTACTAAAAGATGTAAGAGATGCGCTACAAATTATACGTACACGTCGGAACCATGAATGCGACGACGACCTAGCATCACCGGCACCTTGACGATCGAAACCAACTTCAACATGCATACAACATCAGACCACCATATCGACAATGAACCAAATCTTTGCTTGCTATGGATACTACGTTTTCACCACCTGAATTGTCAGACATCGTTCAGGCCTGTCATCAGCACGAGCACGGACACACCACACCGTCCGCTTAAACTCCCGTCAACCGTCTCCATCCACCAACCCACGACCAAAATATCTCACATACCGTACCCACCTGCTCCAATCTCCAAATCTCCAAACCCTTTCTCCTTTAGCTTGCCTTTCGCAACCGCGTTCTCATGTCTGACCGTTTTTTTCCTGCTCCCCGTCGATCCAACGTTGGTTCCTGCCCAAAATGCACGCAAGCCAACGACGAGTCATGCAACTGCATCTCGCGTCTGCAGCCCGCTGAACGTGATCACACCGCTGCGTTCCCGCACAGCCGCAGTAGACTCGGTGCGAAGAGTATGATTACAGTAAGGTGTTGATATTTTATGCGAACCAATTCCTTTGCCGCGAGGTGCATGAAACATGTATAATTAATCGATTATTGCATAACGGTTTTATGTATTGTAGATCCGGGGTACTTGATCGAATGGGACGGCGATCGAAGGATATGGAAGTGGTTTTGGGATGATGGAAAGTGTAGGGTTGGACTGTTGTGTTGATGTGGGACTGTGATAAACGTTCGAATATGTTGCTTAATGTGCGTGCGACGATCAAAATATCGTAGAGCATGTAGCACAGCAGCTACAGAGTATCTGAGGATATCGTCTCACCAACCGAGCTTAGAAATTACAAGACACGACCATGCTCAATACTCTACAAAGTAAGGTTAGGGCCATCATGTCGAATACACTCCATTAACAAGTCACTGTAGCGCAACTTCTACTTCCCCCTACCTCATCGCTGGTTTCGAACGTCTTCTTCTAACAACAAGTTTCTCAAGACATCTGCAGCCGGATAAACCTGTGTAGTCTCCTGGCAACAACAACAAGACCAACAACATAACATATCCCGATAAGTGTCGAGATCTGCGAAAAATCTAGTCTGTTGGGCAGAGATGTCAACAACCAAGCCTATTGATCTAGAATGCTTGGCTTGGCTAGCAAGAGGGTTAGAAGCAAGAAGGCTTGATTGAGAGGCTTGAGTTGCTTACGCCCTAAGCCTCATTATATTGGACGACTTGTTAGCAACAGGGCTAAAGCATGAGAAAAACAAGGAAACGGCAATCTTTTCTTCCTGTTCTACTCTTCTCTGCTGGCAGCCCTATCCTTCCATTTATATCAAACAGTGAAGCAATCTGAACAGGTTCGCTGACGCCCACATTGATATAAGAAACAGAGTTTGTCAACTTTGAACGTATCGTAGGCTCCTAGGTTCTGCGATTTATCGTCTTTGTTATCTTCTCCCAGTAAACGTCTACACAAACTTGATCGGTATTATGCGAGGTCTTAAGCTAAGTTGATAGAGTTACTTGCTATAACTCAAGATCTCAAGCACGACCGGTAAGCACGATCGACATGAAAACCAAATCCCACACAGATCCACCTCATGCGGAGGATTTGCGAACCTTCCTTTTCTTTTTCGGGTTGTCGCCTCCTTCATCATGGCTGATAAGACGAGACCGATACAACTGGAAGATCCTGCCAGTGATAGGTATGGCCTTGATGTCATATTTCCAATTTCCGACAAACGTGCGGTATCCATAAGGCAAAGCTTCATTGATCTTTTCGATAGCCCAGATTGAAGTGTCGTTTGCGAAATCGACGTCTCCGTAGAGCTCCTCGAAGTCGACGACGAATTGGCGAACCGCAGTTGCCGTCCTTAGGTCGTCAAGAGAGCTGATCACTTCACATGCGCGGTCTGACAGGACTTCGTTTGGTGTCTGGTCGTTAATGTGGTTGATAACGGCCTTCAACGCGGATGCTGGTGAGTTGGCGTCTCTGACTTCCTTCCACACCGATGGTTCGATAGCAGCGTGGAGGAGGGCCAAAGCTGAGCGAGAGGCCACATCATGGTCCTTCCATTCTTGAAGGTGAGTGTTGTAAACGGCGAGGTGGTACTCCCAACCCTGCGGAATAAATTGCTCTTGTCCCTGGTCGGCGGCTTGTTGAGGGGCGAGGAAGGCGGGCGCAATGGGCTTCGTGACTACTCCAGCGTTGTCCTTGAAGTGTTCAGCGTATCCGTGGATTTTTGCAATGTCTTTGAAAGACTGGAACCAGTCTCTGAAGTTCTCGGGCCCAGAGAGCTTTGTGAAGTTGTCGCCCAGGGCGATGGTTGGATCGTTGATGGCGGCCATAGTTGACAGTGGTTGTGGTTTGGAGTGAGACTGCGGTGAACTTGTGCGCTTATAACCTGCTGTGGGTTGATATTAAATGACTTAGTCCCGTGACTATTGTTGCGAATGTGGTTAGTCGCGTGAGTATGACGAAAGTCCTGGCGGCGTCAAGCATACAGGTGGAGGTTCGATGGACTGACCATACTAGACGGGACGAGATGAAGTACCCTTGTAGACCGCTTTGGCAGACATACTGTGTAGACAGCGACCTGCTAACTTCAATACTTTTTTCTTTCAAGTAGAAGACAGATCAGGTTCGCAAATAACAAAGAGAGAGAGGTAATTTAGGTAGATCATATGTATTTCAGAACATAAGGAGAAAGTGGTATTATCCTAACAAAACAACAAATTACAAGCAGACATACACAAGAGCCATCTGCCCATCTGCCTAGCGCAATGGAAGAAAAAGACAGCCACCTTGGAGAATACAATCCTCCCAGAAAGCGCTTTTCCACCACTACCGATTCTTAGGCTCTGATACCCACATACTGGAGTTGCTTCCATCCATCCATCTTTGTTCGGGTATGATCCACAACGACGACAACAACTCTTCTCATTGAAACATAAGGAATGACCCAAAGTACACAAGGGGGGTCGTCGGACAAGGGGGTGTTCTCAAGGAGAGTAACGAAGTGCAAAGCAAGAAAATAGGGTCCCTAGCCGTTCAACGCCGGGGGTAGGTAACATGGTAAGGAAAAGGGCATCAATGCTAATCTCGTTTCGATCGCTAATGATAAAAACAAAGTAGAGGAAGAAGGGCGGCAAGCCGCGGCGACGACTAGCTTATCGCATGTTGTGGCGTACAGCGGTGTTGGGTCGCTGCAGTGGTTGCGCGTACTTGGACACGGGAACCATGTGGGCATCGAGATCGTTGTTACCGTCTACGTCGTCATCGTCTTCGATGATGCGTGTTGGTACGACGGGGATGTCGTGCGATCGGTGCTGTAGGCTCGTCCGGTCTGGTGTTGTGCTGGCACTGGCCATGGACATGGAGGTGCTGGACCGATGGCTTAGATCGGGCGTTGGGGGGATGCTTGAACCCCGGTTGGGGCGGAGCATGTTGTCCTCGTCGCCGTACTCGCTGCCAATGGTCGATTGCGCGCGGCCTCCGGCCGATGACATCTGGCCAACGCTGCTGCGGCGGTCGCTGTGGTTGTCGCCATCTTCTGTGTCAGCACGCTGTGCGAGCTGAAGACCCTCAACAGCTGCAGCGCACTGCTCTGAGATGTTGCGGATGATGTAGGCGATGGCGTCGGTCTTGTCCCGAAGGACACGGTCGGCGACGTCGACCATTGATTGATTTGAGAAGCGCTTGGAGTTGCGTGCGGGGTTGTTGAATAGACGCTGCTCCATGTCGGGTGTAACGTCCTCACCGTCGAGGTGCTTGCCCTGCGCAGTGCTGGCTCTTGACTCCTGGCGGCTCTCAACACCGGCTACGCCGCGGATGGTACCGACCTCAGACTTGTCCTTGATCGAGTGACGGGGGGTTTGATGGCGCGACGCCGCGTCTTCAAACTCCTCCTGGTCCTCATCCTCCTCAGGCACGTCTTCGAAGCCGGCATCCATGTAGTTGGACATGTCATCCTGGTTAAGGGACTTGACGATGTGCTCCATGTGGTGGGTCTGACCCTCGATAAGAGCACGAAGGTGGAGCACAACCCGTTGCGCCTCGTCGCGCTGGCGCTGGATGGCACCGTTGGTATGTTGCAGAGCACCAAGCTCCTTCTTGTTCTTCTTCCTCTCGCGCTCGAGCTCCTCAGCAATCTCTTGCTGTAGTACAAGGGCTTCGAGGGCGTCGTCACGTTGCTTCTCAGTACCGGACAGACGGACAGTAAGCCTTGCGGCATCATCCTTCTGTTGGTCGATAAGGCTTGTAAGACGACGGTTCTCACGCTTGTGGTTCTCGATCTTGACCTTGAGATCCTGGGTCTCCTTGGTGAGTTGCTCGGCGAAAGCCTGGAACTTGAGGAACTGTTGCTTCCAGCTCTCAAGCTCCTCGACCAAGAAGTTGTTGCGCTTTGTAACCTTGCCAAGCTCGCTGTCGAGGCGCTGCTTGAGGTTGATGAAGTCTGTCCAGGCTTCTTGTGCGTCACGGGAGTACTGGTTGCGCTCGCGAACGATCTCGTTGAGGTGGCGCATCGACACCTTGGTCATCAGCGGCTTCTTGACGGAGCCACCGAAGATAGCCTTAACGCCAGTGTTGCGGCCCTGCGGTGATGTTAGCGTGTGGTACGATGAGTCTATGCGCAACCGGATACATACCAATTTCTCACACACGTGGTCCATGACCGACATGACAGCATCCTGGGTCCACCAGTCGGGGTCCTGGATGCTCTCAACCTCACCACGCATCACAATGATTTGACCCGCGGGGATGAGCTTGCCGCCCCCGTACGCCGAGCGCAGATGCTGTGGAACTCCGGTTGGTGAAACCTCACCGTTGAGAGCCTGAGTCAGACGCTGGATCATCTTGGTCCTCTGGCCGGCGGTAAGAGCGGTAGGCGGGCTTGAAGTCAGAACAAAGTTCCGGTCCAAGTCGACGACAAGGGCATCTGTGGGAGCCGTGAAGAGCGATCGGCACTCTGATGTTACACCCAGAATGTATGGGCCCGGCTCCTGCACGAGATCCTTGACGTGACGCGCATGAACGACGGGTACATACAGACCGCTCCACTCGTACACCCTGACACAGAAACGGACTGTCTCGGCTGCGATGGTGAGCATCGCGGGGTAGTGACTGGTGAAGATGATTCGTCGTGTGGGCGATACAGCAGCCTCTATCACACCCACAATGTTGGGAATTGAGAGACACGTGAAGAGGGGCCACATGGCGAAGTTTTGGAATCCGGTAGGCGAGGATGGGAACTGGTAGCACAGCGCGTAATCCTTCATGTCGATGCGGACCAGGTCGTTGAGGCGAGGAGCTGGGAAGCTGAGGATGCGCGAAACCTCCTCGGCATGGAAAAGGTTGGTAGCCTTATTCCAGTGAATCCACATGCCGCGAAGGTAGTCGCCGAGTAGGTTGTACAAGGGGTATCGGGAGAGGAAGCTCAGGCAGTACGGGATCCAGTAGGTCTCATCTGGGTTGTCGAAGAAGTCGGGCTCGATTCGCTTGCGCAGGTCGCGAATGGTCTCAGCGCGCTTCTCATCAGCGCGAGACCAGACGCGCAGTGCGATACCGTAAAGAGTGTGTGAGGAATCTTGCTGCAGGACGAAGGAGTGGTGTACGCAGTGCGGCTGGCTCCTGCCAGTGCAGATCTCGACGTCGTGGGGGAAACATGCCTGTGTGCGTGGTTAGTAGCGCGCCAACAATGACATTGTTGTATAGACGTACTCGCATGGCAGCATGAAGAGACCTCGCGATCTCGTTATCCTGCTCCAGTCTTGGACTGCTTCCCAGAATCTCAGGAAGCCAGAAGGTACCAACAGCACCCTTCATGTGGCCAATCTTGCCCTGAGAGGGTGCAGGCGCCTTCACCCATTGTGATGGCTCGCGACCCACACCACACACCATGTAGGCATGGGTCAGTGTCTTGGGGCTCCTCGCGCCCTGCTTGACGTTCAAAGTCGATGGAAGCGGTTGGGTGATCCTCGAATGAAGCGATGATGTCCGGCTCGGGATGATGAGGCTGTGGTCGGCATTGTCTCTCGTGGGAGGACGCTCGCTGGCGCCTGTACGCGGTCGCAAACTTAAAGAAGGTGCCATGTTGGCGGATTCGATGTCGGTCCTATCGAGATGGCCGTTGCGGTATGGGTGTAGAGAACGGCAAGCGGAAGAATCCAGCAATTATTATGACAGCTATAACTGTGCGAACATGAGGCGATGCGTAGAAGGTATCCGAAAGGCAACCCGCGAGAACAAGAGAGAGCGGACCGTGAGTACTATACGCACTCCGTCAATTGAGAGCTCCGAGGTCACCTTGCTGCGGGCAGTAGAGGAGGGTAGCAGCAAGGGGGAATCATGGCTTTTGGGGAGCTCTGCCGCAGCGCGCGGACTGGATGCTGGGGGTTGAACGACCCGAAGACTAGCATGGGTGGCTTTCACAAGTTTCGGTTCGAGGAAATGAGAAGCATATCCCTGCCCATTCGCAGGGTCCGTCTCGGAGCACGGTGCACGGCGCTGTCAGGGGCACTTTTCTTGAATAACGGCTCGCCCAACTTCCTCGAGCGGGCGCGACGGCAGCAAGGGCCGCAATCAAAGATACGGCTTATACACAATACATTGTTATGTCGCCTCTCTCTTTGCACTGTTGCAACGTTTCCTGCAGCCACGTCCAGCAACCGGAGCTCTGGTACCACGACTCGGTCACCGAGAGTCCGCAGCGGCCTCAGCAGAGAATCCCCGCTGGTGGCAATAGCGCCATACGGACTGGCCTTATGCTGAATACCGCATTGGGTTGGATTCGAATCATTCGCACGCCTTGTGCACGATGAGCACGTCTGCAGCGTGCATCCTCGCATCAGCATGCATGAGCAGAGTTCCCGCACTTGCAGCTCGGACGGACCGCGAATGGAAGTGCTTAGAAATTGGCGAGGCAAACCCCTGACGGCTGTTGGCTATCGGTGGCTGCCCAGCAGGCGGTACATGAAGATCGCTCTTAGGCCCGCCGCCAGGCACGTTTGATCCTGCGTGGGAGTGCGAGGCCTTTCTGCAAAAGGTCCAAGACGCGCCGTCGAGCTGTCGACCAGATTCTTCGATCGGCTCCACAGTCCGGTAAAGGTGGTGGCCACGTACAGTAGCCTCGCGTGTCGTGGACCCTCTAGAACCAGACTTCTGAGCTGTCCGCTGAGAACTGCGGAGAGCTGGAATTGGTGAGGCTGAAACACCGGGCACTCAAGCTGCCTGGCAAATCGGGCGCCTTCGCCCAGGTTCGGTCAAGCTGACATGGACAAGACGTGTTGCAGCCGGACAGAGCGAGAACGACTCGATTGCCTCTCAACAGCTGTAGACGAGCGCAAGC